CAGGCATGCCTGAATCTACCCAAAAGATGGCATTTGTTGAAGGAGACAAATTGACTCTGGGTCTCTAATTTTATCTATAGTTCTAACTTGTATTTTATTATTTCAATTTTCTTTATACTCTTATATTAGATGAAGTCATATCTCAAAATACATGAAAGAAAACTATTTTATTAAGTGCCATCATATTAATTGAGTTTTTCAACAGGCTATAAACCTGGGGCCAGTAATAATTTATAGTGGTCAGCGTCATAAACAATGTTAATTTTATTTCCTCTCCTGTTACTACAACGCAAAGCTATATAATCCAGGCAAGAACAGACTGGTTAAAAATGATTGTGGGCTTATAAATGTTTACAGTCCTATCTGTGAAGCTGGAACACAGCCAGTTCTGAATGCTAATGGAGAACCAGGGAAGCAAAGCAACCCTGAGACCACCCCGACTTTGGAGCCAAGAGATTATTTCCTGTTCTCAGTTTTTGAGACTTCTTTGACGCAGGAGACCAAGAGGGGCCCTAGTCTTCTTGAGGATATTTTTCTGTATCTAACTCCATACGACAACTCATCCTCCTACGCTCCCTCTATCCCTTCTTTTCTCCTTGTCTGCCCCTTCTGTACTCAACCTCATTAACTAAGTCCATTACCAGTCTGTTCATGGGAACCCAGTATCACACAGTGAAAGGGCAGTGGGTGAGCAGTCCAGAGACCAGGGCTCAGTTTGGGTCTGTCACTGGTTATTTGTATTTCCTCACTTTTTTTTTTTTACTCCTACACCGTTCTTCATTTCCCCCTAAACCAAAGTACCTGTTCATGATATGGTTTCATTCATTTCAAGTCCTAACTTGGTCTTTCTAGCCCTGATCTCTCTTGCTGTCATCTGCCCATATCCCATTTTCAGTTAAATATTCCACTAACATTCAAGGCTTATAGGTTGTATACTGCTAGTGGCAGAGTGATTGGCACTGTCTTTTTGGAAAACAATGTAGTAACATGTCTCAAAGGTCATGAAACATGTTAATATTGTTTGACACGGAAATTCTACTTTTAGGAATGTATCATTAGGAAATGATTCAAAATATTATTTAAAAGAAAGCCCCAAGAAGTTTGTTGACTGCCTCAAAATGAAAAAAGAAAGAAAAAAATCAAAATGACTCAATAGTTAGTCGAGATATCATCATGTAACTTGTACTGTATCATTTTAATAAACCAGTAAGCAGTCCATAAAATGGTATTCATTATGGCCACTTAGCACTATGAAAAAACATATACTATTAGGTATAATTTAATTATGGCTGAAAAGAACAGGATATAAACTCCAGGTAAACACGTATGGAAACAACATAAATATATCAAAAAGACCCACATGATATTAAAAGTAATATTTGTTGTTTCTACATATTGTAGTAGATATTTCTAGATACTGTATTGTAGTGTGGGTGAAGGGCATATTTTATTTTCTCTGATTTTTCACATTTTCCATTATTTATCTGTGTTACGTAACTGGGAAAAATGCTGAGCCTGACCTTACTCCTTTCCTAAAAAATTGCTTCTCCCTGACTGCCTCACGGCTGGCAGCGGCCATGAATCCTCTTAGTCCTCTAAGCACTCGACCCTCAAGTTCTTAATTTTCTCTTGTTCTTTTCCTCCTTTACATCCTGACAATCACTAAGTACGAAGGGAATCTTTTCCCACAATAGTAGTATATCCATTTGCTCACTTTCTCCCTCTCAACTGCTTACACTAGAAGCCATCTTCTAAAAAGGCTCCTCTGAAATGCCACCTATATTTCCACAAGATTTTCTTCCTCGCGTGTTTTAAAACCCTCTCCTCACACAGTTCCCTTTGCCTCCCACTAGCTATCAGTTTCAACCTTGGGCTCCATTATGGGCCCTGATATGCTCCACCATATGATGTCTTTTCAACGTATTAATCTATTTTTCAAATTTCTAAATACTCCACTTTATTCAAACAGACTAACTTGCCTCCTTCGGGTTCCAACAGAGTAAAGAACACAATATTGGTTCCAGACAAATCCTGTAAGAGATGATTACAGTCATGGTTCTGCAGGCATTGAGGATAGGACTTGGTGTCCCCAAGCAGCAGGATGCTCACGGTGAGAGCAAGACACCCTGGATGTACCTTGTTTTCTTCTCTGAAGGACTCACAACCTTCTATCAGGGACGGATTTCAGCAGGTGTCTGACAAAGTGTCTCAGAACATCTCGCAGACAAGACTGAGCAGAGTGAGTTAGATGATGATAGAATCTGATATATTAACGGATGGTTGAATAACTTGACCCAAAGAGTCCTGAGTAAGATAAAAGTCAACTTGGAGAGAAGGTTCTGGTGGTAGGGCTTCCTGTCTGCTACTGACCTCCATAACTTTTTTAAAAATCCACGACAACAAACTAGTTATTTAACTAGAAGCTATTCTTACCAAAGCTGCCAACTGAAACAGCTGGAAAAGATAGTTAAAACAGTACATGGCGGAAGAAAAAAAGATGAAAAGTTCTACAAAAGCTGAAATTTCAGGCTGATACAACAATCTCGAAATTAAATACAGAATGAACCATTTGTCCAGATTCTGAAAAACTGCCTGCAAAGTGAGTGATTTCAGCTGACTATGGGGGAGAGGTTTTTAGCATGAGATTATCCTATGACCAGCTAGCTGTGGACATGGATAGATGGTGACAAGGGAATCTGACCTGCTTAAGTAGGGGAAGGTGTCATGGTGTGTTACATACGGGCTGACCAAGGTTTGTAAACACTGCTCCAGGGGTTTGAAGTGCTAGGATAGGGTTAAATAAAGTTGTATCACCAAGAAATAAATTCATTTGCCACCAGAGAATGTGAAGGTGTCTTATTCTCCAATGGTTTGTGACGTGCTTGTACATTTAAAGTGTTCTTTTATTACTAAAGAATTTAAAACATGAAGATAAGATCTGAAAGTCAGAGAGGGGAAGGACATCCTGAGTTATGGCCAACAGCTGCTCCATCTCTTTCATGCTACAAGCAACCACCCAAAGGGGCAGGAGAATGAACCTTTTGGTTTGTCAATTACATTCTTTCATCTCATAGCATTTGACATTTACATCTGGAATAGGAAAGACTGCTAAAAGGTGTGACCCTGATATGTAAGAAAAGATCATGGTCCTGGTCCGGATTTATTTTTCCGAAAAATCATTCAAAACTTCAACTATAAGTTCATAGCATGTTGCCACTGCAGCTCATAAAAATTAAATTTATCAAGTAACTGAGTTTAAAAATAAACTACCTGATGCGTCCGCAACATGACTGAGGAAAAGCTATACACGGTGTCCATTTTAAACTTCCACCTGCTATGAAATTTGGTCGCAGTAGGGATGAATGCAAAGATGCTACAGAATGGACTAAGACAAGTTTCAAGGCCATTAAATATCTCGATCATTTTTCAAATACAATGAAAATAAGATAAAAACATCTCGATCATTTTTCATATTCATCATGTATTCAGATGAATAAAACAAATAGCCATTCTCATGGAGTCGGATATTCTAGTGGTGGTAGAAAGACCACAAACAAATGTTGATGTTGATGTTGATAAATTCTGTGGAAAAGATTAAGGCAGAACACAGTGATACAGAACAAGACAGGCAGTGGGAGGCTGCTGTCTGCCAAGGGTCATCACTGGAGACCTCTCTGATATGATAACATCTGAGCAGAAAGCAGCGTGATATGAGATGTCCACGAATCTCTAAGGTACCTGGGAGAGAAGGGCTGCAGGAACAGCTGGACAAAGGCTCCAGGAACGAGAGAAGCCTGCCTGGTATGTCTCACCGCCAGGCAGAGGCAGGCCAGGGTCTGATGGAAATCAAGCAGCCAGGGTGGGGTGAGGCAATGCAATACTGATCGACAGAGCCGATCTTGTCTTCAGAAAACCTACTGTGCCTGCTTCAGCATAGGCCCAACACAGCAGAGGACTACCGCTGTACACCAGGGAACACGACCATGATCATTTTAGCTTAAAAGATGTCCTAAAACTTGCATTTAGGGGTTTTTGTCTAAAGCCCACTTAGACTACATGGGGGATTAGACAGGTGCTTTTGTCTAAAGCTCACTCATATTACACAGAGAATTAGACCAAGAGAACCAGATTTATAATTTCTGTCACATAAATATTCATAGAATGTCCTAATTTTGCTTCTTGATGAAACCTCTAAAGTTTTTTTTTAATGCAAATTACTCCTTATATAACTGACATGCAGTATCGAATTATTTATTACCTTGAAGCCAAGGGAAGGCTGCAGGGCATCTTACAAAGATGTTGAGTTTGATTTTAAAGACAATCTGGCAATTCTGTAATAGCAAAATCTAGTGCCTATCAAGGGCACTTCTGTGTGTCAACACGACATTATAAATTTAGAGAAAAGACAACTTAGATCTGTTCTCCCATAGCGGGGGAGCATGCATCCAGGACTCTGAAAAATGGCCCTCGGTCACTCAGACACAAGTGAAAAGAAGGAACGTATTTAAAACACATGTCTGTTTCATGCTATGAGAAACTTTCTCTTGGAACCCATCCTACAAGCCTCTGTAATATTCTAACAGGTATTCCTTAAGATGGGATCTATAGGATTATCAGTAATCATCCCCATATTGAGTTTACGGATCTTAGTCAATTAGCAATTCACTAGAAAAATATCACCAGTAAGTAGTAATAAAAACAGAAAGTATCATGCGTTGTTCTTGACGGACTTCGTCCCAAAGTGACAGGGACTACATCCGTTGTGATAATTGGGCCATCTTTGTCGAAAGGCCACCGATCGTACACAGAAAATACTGAACTGAGAAGACCAGGCTGCTTGTAATTTCAGTTGAAAAAGGAAACTGACAGACAGATGAGCGGTCCACTAGGAGCTTACAAATTAAATCCTGAGTCCCTAATCAATTAGTGCAACATTAATTTGTATACACAACAGTAACATTTGAAAACAATACTGTGTGAAATTAAACAGAAACAATTACCTGCTCGGCCAGTAATGAAGCTAAGCTTGAATAGGCATCTGCAAACTCTGGCCCGTATTTAATGGAATCCTTCAGTAAGCTGATGGCTTCTTCTTTTTTCTCCTGGGACCTGTAAATAGTTAGAGAAGGGGAGAGCATCTTTTAATAACACCTTGCTCAAATCTTTTGATTAGACTTTAAAACCTCATTTCTTTTAGCAAAGGCTAGCTGATTCCACTCTGAATTTGATCACACACGAATTAAACTAGACCGTCCCAAGATGCTAAGTTACTTTCTGTCTCTGAATTCTCAGTGGAGAGAGTTGTGAAGATGGAAATGGTGCAGCAGGCCGTTCCCTGATTTTTCTGCCTTCTATTTCCTGCTGTGCACTTTGACAGTTTCATTCGCTAGTTTGCAAGTTTGTTAACAAGCAACTTGACCGTCAGGAGAGGAATTTGGTGGGAAATCACCTGGGTGACATGGAAGCCACCTGCAGGGATGTGGAACACGATTTGGGCCCCTGCAGAACTAGTCACACCACGGCAGGCTGAGCTCCCCAGCCTACCAGGGACGAGCCAGGCCAAACTGCCAATGCTAATGTTTGGTTTTGTATCTAAGAGAGGAAAATTTCATACATAATTTATGAAATTAGAAACTACTGTGATGACTGGATAGGAAAGAATAATGAGCTATTTTATATCATATTTTTGTTGAAAGTTGAGATGGTTTTGTCTTCTTCATCAGAGTCTTCTCCCAGCGATGATGGGAGCACGGCTTAAAGAGGGCTCAAGGCCCAAGGTTATTACCCTTTTCTTGGGTGAATGTTCTCTTTCCTGTTATGGCCAAAGTTAGACATTGGGTCATTATCCTAATATTAGTATCTTTGAGACCAAAAATGTACACTTGGCAGTGATCAACTTTGCTACTAATACAATTCCACCAAGATCTCTTGTTAAGTACTAGACATTGTAATTGGCAAAAGAAAAAGTGGAAGGAAGACTAGTAATTTTTTGACGTATAGAAAGCACATAGCCTACTGCCCCCATCTTTACCAGGTACCAAAGGAGCTGTGTGCTTCTTTTAGCAGTAATTATACCCATATGCTCTCATAACTTATCATATAACATTAATTCTCACAACAATCCCACACAGTGGATATTGTTTCCTTATTGTTATGCTTATTTTTTCCAATGAGAAAATTTGGATTCTGAAAAGTCAAGTGACTCATCTGTGTTCACATCATCAGCCTTTGGAGTGTTCTGGCATCATAGCAAATTACTTAGAAATCCAGCTCTTATGATCTTGCTACTCAAAGTGTGACTCATAGACCAGCTTCACCAATATCAACTGGAAGATATTAGAAATGGAGACTGTCTCAGACTCCATCCAGGCCTACTGAATCAGATCCTGCAGTTTCCAAGACGCCCAGGTGATCTGCATACACACTGAGATTGCCGCAAAACTGCTCCATGAATTGTCAAAGGCAGCCGAGAACAGCTCCTGATAAAAGTCCCCCTACTGCTCCAGTTTCTGTAGGAAGAAGTGACGTCGTAGAGGGAAAACTAATGTTGACTCCACAAGTTGGAGTTCGTAATTGCCAGAGGCAGTTTGTAAACCAGGCAATTTCACTTAGAAGGGAGTATTCTATCATAGACCTTGAAAATAAAGCCATGTTTCCAACACAGACATTGGATTTAATAATTCAATTAAATATTTATCATTGTCTGTTATGTGTTAGATGCTTAGCTATTATTTCTCAAGGGAAGTGGCTATCCATACTATCCTTTCCGTATTAGGGTCTAACTCACTCCTAATGGGCTCCTCTACATGCAAAGGTCTGTCCTTGAGAACAGGTGCAACATTTTTGTAATGTGGAAGTTGCATGGGTATAGTACGCTTGCATACAGCTCCCTTAGTTTTTTATTGTTAATTCATTACTTAACACACATTTAAAGCACATTTGCAGGACTCCATGGAAGTCCACGGTGTTCATATATACTTAAGTTTATATTCAAAAATATACCTTAAAGAAATTCTTCCACTGGCACTTTTTTTTTGAATGAACATGTATTTTTTAATTCTAGTTATTTGACTAATGATTTTATGGTTAGCAGAACTCTTCCTCCAAGAATTTCATGAATCTTTATTAACATTAATTTGGAAATCTCCCCGAAAGTCCAAAAGAAAGATGTGGACTTAGGAAATGAAGGCTGAGAATTAAGTCCTTTGGGACATAACTTAGCTTGGATATTTTTCAAAATCAGCAGGGGAAAAAAAAACACCCACAACAATTTGATAGCAATGATTTAATGGTTTTCATTTGTCACGGCTCACATCCAGAATGAAAAGTTCGACCTTTTACACACGAACTCAGTGAGATTAATTACCACTTAACACAGTCTATGAATCTAAATACTGGAGATTGTCCATTAACATTCACGTGACACAGTGGAAAAGTTAATCATTAAAGTTATTCACAGGGAACTCACATTCTTTACCTAAAAAAAAGTTATCTCTAAAAATGCCTCCAGGGACTAACAGGCTTTAAGAACAACATCTCTTCATGTAATTAGTTTAGTATGTATTACAAGACTTGGGCAGAGAGGACATTTCCTCCTGGCTCTGGACGCTTGTATTATCCTGCTTTTGCTTGGAAGGTTTAAGGGTCAGGCTAGCAGGCACCATATGCCTTCTTGGCAGATATTTTAAAATGCTTCTTAAAGAAACCCCAAGGAGGTGCTCAATGGTGGCCTTCTTGTTTCTGAAAGGGAGTTTCGGAATAGAGAGGCGATTTCTTCCATAGTCTCTCTTGTTCAATCCTCTTTGGTGGGAGATTATGAAATACGTATGGTTTCCATAGGTTGACCAGATTTTAACATCGGTAAGGCGGGACAACATGGCCAGGGGGCTGGACGGGACAGGGTAGGGCCTGACAACAATGCAAACTTTGATAAGCAGTTCTTGATAATCACTTCTCAGCAATTATTTGTTATTATTACAGTTTAACATTATAAAATTAACAAAAATAATATAAAACTCATATTCTGGCGAAATAGCCACATGGCAGCCAAAAACCATATATTCCCTTCTTGTTCTTCTGCCCGTTCATGAATTCTTTCCAAAAATCGAGACTTTGTTAAAACACCACGGGAAGTGGGACAAATTGTTGAAAAGTGAGACTGTCCCGCCAAAAGCGGGACGTCTGGTCACCCTAGGTTTCAACACAATAACTTACAGCAGATAATTCATCTACATGAAAACTTCCCTGGTTATATGAGAAGAGATGACCATGTGAGAACAAAACTTCATTTGAAACTGTTTCGGATTTGAGTAGCATTCCTTTCTCATCTCCACATTACGGTACCTGCTTCTCTGATAATTATCCCAAATTAATAAACAGACACTATTTTGGTAGCAATGATTTAATGGTTTTCATCTGTCATAACTCCTATCAGTTATAATGGAAACTTAGGACTATTCAAATGAGTTCTATTAAAAATAGTTCTATAGTGCACTTGGATGGGTGGCATCCAGAGCACACCTGACTCGGTTTTCTTTGCTAACACCTTAGTTCACAGCCACAGTTCTCACATCTGCTTTTAGTTCTCTTTCTGCTATGAATACGCATGGACAGTAGAAAGACAGTTTTTTAGAACACTGCTTTTAAAAGCTTTTTATATAAAAATCTTCATTCATGCCCAACTACCTAAAGATAGACTAACGCCCTCTACAACATGGTTCTGACCAACATTCCAAACATACCCTGATGCCCACTGTCCCAGCAAGACCAGTGGCCTGGGGCATCTATTCTGCAGAGCACAAGAGAGTGTCCACTCCACTGACTGTCTACCCTCCCCTTACCTTAAAACAGCCTGGGATGCTTTTTTAAAAAACCCCAGCGCTCTGAGGTTGGGCCTCCTAAACTCTCTATATGAATATGTCAACCACCCAGATTTGAGAATTATGGATATAATCCAATCTCTCAATTTACAGTAGCAGAAACTGAGACTCGGAAGGGACTTCCATGATTTGTCCTGGGTCCAAACAAAAAGGAAGGCCTTGCATGAAGTCTTGTGCCTCTCAGCCTGCTGTCCTTGTTATACCACTTCACAGATGGCTTTTCCATCCCCTCTAATAAACTCTGGTCCCCCAGTCACATCTTCTTTAAATGGCCCAGCTTAAGGCTACTAAACAACAGAACACACTTAAAAAAAATTAGAGTTCAAAGTACAGATCCCAAAGTCAGGGTTCTGGGTTTTGATTCTACCTCTAGCATTTATTGGCTCTGTTTCCTTAGGTAAATTATCTGACCCCCGTGTGTCTCAGGTACATGACAGGCACTATGTATGTTTTGGCTTTTATTAACTCATTTTTTTCTTTCCTTTCTTTTTTTTTTTT